CGGATTTTGACGGCTGAAGAATAGTGTCTAGATAATGATTGTTGTTTAGTGTTGGTGGTCGTTAAAAGGTTCGCCCAATAAACGGAATGGAAATAAAATAAAATATAAAATGAGCTTCTGGCAGAATTCCATAAGCTTCTAGCAGATAACAAACAAACAAAAAAAAAACCCGGTCTCTCTCCGTCCACTACACCCTCAATTTAAATAGCTTTGGAAAAAGGATTTCTTTAAAAAAGATAAAACCGTCTCGACTACCGGAACAACACACGATTTGTAAACGCTCCAACAAAAAAACAAAATCAAAAAAATCACATTACCGAAGACATTTTTGTTTTGGTTTTTGTTTTCCTTTTTCGAGAGAGGATAGAGAAAGAAAGGAAGAAAACGCGACGGAGAGACACGCGCAGAGAGATGTGTGCCCAAATGGAAAAACGATTCCAATAATATTTTATGAATTCGACTTTGCAGTCCTTGACGTGACTTATTCGATAATATGAAGGCACTCCATAATTTAACGCAGAAATAAGTGCAATAAAAAGAAACGTTTGCTTTTGGTTACAAAAAAGAACATTTGTATTTGAAACAAATGGAATTAAAAATGAGATATTCGAAATTATTGATTTACTTTTCGAACTTGTTTATATTTCTTCTGTCGTCGCTATCACCGTGGTGACGAATAGCTGCCGTCTGATAAAATCCTTGCTGTATTTGTTGATTTTCGGATTATCAAAAGTAAACAGTTTCTTTATTATCGCATTTATGAAGAAAGCAATTACAAATAATTTCGGTATGTAAATTATAACGAGTCATTTCGCGTTTACATTTCTAATTATAAAATGTATACATAAAACATCTAATTGCATATGCCGCTATACCTCGCACAGTCCTGATTCGATTAGTCCTGGTTTTATGTTTGAAAATTTCAAAACAAACTAAATTAGTATTTTAAATTATTATTAATTTTTCCTTTTCTTATTTTCTGTGCGCTTTTAAAATCCTCGATTAGTCCGGGATATTGGCAATCACCCGCACTATGTGAAGTATTGCTGTATTGCATTTTTATCCTATATTAAAACATCAATATAATCGTAAACTATAAATAAATAATTTATTAAAATTTATATAAGTTTTTTTTTTTAAATAATTTTATACAAACATCAAAAAATATACATAATATAACTATAAGTAAATTTTTAAATAAACGTTGAAATATTTTAAAGTTATGACTATTTGTAATGATTATTTGATAAACTTGTCCATTAACAAACGCATCATTAAAATGATACGTGAAATTTACTAATAAGATTTATAAAATTGATGTTTGCTTCATATTTTATCCACTTATAAACAATTAATTAAACTATTCACATATAAAAAATGGTGTTTTGTATTGAAATATCAAAATTTTTGATAGCAGTAAAGAAATGGGAATGTTTATATTGATCAAATATATTTTGTTCAACAGTCAAAGCCAAAAAAGCACGACTATAAGAGCAAATGAAGAGAAATGTACAAAATTGTATATTCTCATATATTTGTAATGATCCAACTAAATTAATCAATTTGTATTATTTAATACTTTTTAATACTTATCAATTTAAGATTAAGATAAAAATATATATACAAAAGTTCTATTTAAACTATAAGTTTGATTTTTTCAAATTAAACAATTCAAGATTTTATAGTTACAATGAACTAATCGATGAATACTTAAAAGATAGTCCAATTTTAATATATAAAAAATGGTTTTTTTATATATATTGTAATCAATCAAATAAATTTTGTAGAAAATTTTATATAAAATTGAATAATTGATGATTATCGTAAGCAACAAAATACCAAAGAAAAATTCCTTATCTAATAATAATTAAGTTTTATATTTAAATATTTATTCTAATGTTCTTTAAAAAGCTTTTTTTAAGTTGTACTAAATCTGTGGGTTTGAAGAAGAAGAAAAAAATAACGATCGCTCATTATTGAAACGAAGGAATTCCGATGCGTGTGCGTCCTTATCTTAATTTGTTCTTCAGGACATTACTAACTCGATGAATCAGATCATGAAAGAGTTTTTGTTATAAGAAACAAATCACACGGGCGAAAATTCCGTATCAGAAGGTAAACTACGTGAGAAACGGTTCGATAAGAATATTTGTTGCAAAACGATTTTGCTTTATTATTATTATTTTTTTTACTAAATAAAGATAACCGATATTGCGGTTGCAGCAACACGAACACATTAATAATTAAATGACCAAAAAAAAATGTGTACAAGAGAAAGCAACAATTTAGTAATTTACCGATTACCGAATGTTTTTGATAATTTTTTTTTTGTGATAACCATAAAGAAAAATAAATTAAGTTGTTTGAAATGCATAATTTTAGTAATTTAAACTAAACGAATGTTTTGGAATGGATTTGTTTGCATTGTCATTGCCGTGAAAATGTTGGAAAAGCGATCTTTGATCTTAAGCAAGGGAATGGTTTGCGCAAATCATTTGCGCAGCTCGGAGAGACAGAGCACGTGACCGCACAATGGAACAATTGCTTGCACCTCTCTCATTTTCTCTTTCACTCTTCCTATGTTATTTTTTTTTCGTCCTGCGACGTCGTCCTTGTTTCGCGCGTTGCCTCGAACGTGTCTCCTTCTCTTTCTCTTCTGGTCGGATGGTGGGACGACAATTAGTGTTTGTGAGCCACTTGAGTGTTCGAGTGCCGTTTTTCGAACCATTACCGTTCGCGTCGTGATCAGATGAACTGAGCCTTCTTGCTCTTCTACTCGTGCTTAATTTTTTGGCTATGCCTGTTGAACAAAACGCGATCTCCAATAAGTCTTCATTCGAACTCGAACAGTGTTTCCATTTGATCATAATAAACATTCCCATTTCGAAACTGCAATCAACAACTTTGTGATAATCCAATACAAAAACACCACAAGTGAATCCTTCAAATATACTACAATGTAAATATACATATTTAATTATTAATCCATTTTTAAAAACAAAATCTTGATTAATTTTCTAATAATCTTAATTTTTAAGAATTTTTTTTATATTTTTTCTTGAATAATCTTCGGTTTTTGATAACAATACGATAAGTGGTTATGAATGAAATGGGATATTATGTATGTTCTTCAATCATTCTACGTAAGCTGTCTGAATTGATGAAGTTTGTTTTGAATCCAATATCAACTTTTTTTGTTGAGCGAAAACAATTCTAAATTTAGAATACGTGAATTATTAATTAAATATTAACAACACATTTTCATATGTTATTCCATCGTTTGTTACTTAATGTTTTGTACATCAAATTCTCGAGTCGTAATTTAAGAAATTCAATATTTTTGTAACTAATACACAAATTTATTATTTAAGAAACATAACTTATTTTATCGATGTTGTTTTAAATATTAAGGTACAAATCATTCAAAAATAGAACGTTTCAAACTATTTCTTTATAAAGTTTTTCGGTTCAATGTTCTAACTGAAAATACAAAATTACATATACAAATTTTATAATAAATTATTGAAAAAAAATGTTTTAAATTATTATAATCTTATTGGCTTTGTATTAAATATTTTTACTGAATTGATATATTTGTAGTTTGTATTGTTTTAGAAAGTTTAAAATAAGTTTATAAAGAAATTAAGCAGATGAAATTTGATTTTCAGATTATTTTTTTAAAGAAATTGATTTTTTTAAAAGTTTAATTACTTATTGTAGTGTTTTCAGTACATTGTAATAACGGATTAAAACAATTTTATTGATAAGTCTTATATAAATCTATATTACAGACTTATATTCAAGTCAAAATCTAAATCGCTTTCATGGAAGTATACAAAAAATGCGTAAATAGTTTAATATGAATCACGTCTACAAATTTAGGTAATCTATCGAAAAAATCATAGATTTTGTAGATTACCAATTAATACCGAATCGTTAATTTTTTACAAATATTTCGGGTCATCAAATTCATAACTACGGTTAATTATAATTGGTTGGTAGAGATTACACTTCGGCTAATGACTAATGACTTCTTACCATTAATGCATTGAGAACAGACAAGAACTGTTTACATAAGGAAGGAACTTTGTTCTTTGGAAATTCCAAAAAGTTGCGTTATCAAGGAAAACCGGTGGTACGAAAATGGAATCGAATTAGTTTCTAATTTTCGGTCGTTGACTCAAGTAAATGAAAAAAAAAACAATCGCTAATGAAGAATAGATTAGTATTGAATTAAATTGAAACAAGTCAAATGTTGTGATCAAAATAGATGTTATTTTGAAATTTAAGAGAAAATGAACGGACAACAAAAAAAGTCGTTGCTTTATATATAAAAAGACACAGCAAATGCCAATTTGTTTTCCCATCGTTAGTGGTTCTTGTATTTCTTTTTTCCTTGATTGTAATCTTCGTTCTTTCCCCCAATTGAGCATAAACTATGTATAAGAAGTGACCTTAAAAAAAATACTGAAAGAAGAAGAAATAAAATTCGACTAATTCGAAGCAACAAGGAAAAAGACGACCGTTTCTTTCTAGTCAGCAAAGTAACTTCTTTCTAGTCTTTGTGCGATCTTGCGATTGATAAGACAGTCGCTGCAGGTTTTCGGCGATAAAAATGTTTTCGATACTGAAGGAACTTCTAACCCAGTCCGTTGAATAGTAGTATATCTATTTTTATTTATCCAGACTATATACCAAATTTTTGATTACAGCTTATCGTCTCGGTGTATTCCGATTTAGTCATTCCCTCCTGCAGTTCTGTTGTGTTTACGTGTATTTTGGGACTCTCGGTGCAAAAGAACACACGCATCAAAACAATAAATAACAAAAGAGTCGTATCCAAAGTGCAATCCATACAATCCGTTGAGCAATCCTACTCCATCCTTTTTGTGATCCCCATACGCATGTTGTTGTTACTTCATTCTTCTTTTTTTTTTTTGATTAAATATTGTCGAATTTGTTATTTAAACATCTCCGTTTTCGTTTCTTTTTCATTGCAGTCCTCTATACTCGACGACGACCAGATCCATCCCGAGTTACACGAACACAAATATGCCGTTCTACAACAACGGATCTTCGGAGCTCGGCAATCAACCGACGCAACTGTGGACCAATACAGGTATGTTTACATTCATCCATCAATAAATCATTCGAATTCGTAATAACATCGTCCAATTACTGACCTATTCTCGTCAGTGTTTATCGCGTATATTTTTAATTTCGGAGACGCAGATGGTTATTTTTTTTTTCGGTTTGTTTTCCAAAGAATTGACCTCTGCGCAATCGATACTCTGATAATTCGGAATGTCGCTCACTGCGATTTGGCAATAAGAAAGATTCTCATTATTCAATTTGTGTTATACAACTAAATGCATCATAAAAATATTATAAAAGTTACAAGTTAAATTAAATTAATTATTGATGAAACAAGTAATTTGATAACTAATTTTAAAAAAACTAGTTATAGTAGACATGGATATGTCGATTTATCAATTCTAGTGTACATTTATTACATCACTAATTTTGATGATACAGTGTTATTTAATATACAATTTGATTAATACATATTTAGTGATTGAAAACTAGTACAATTGTTTTCAATCACTAAATATGTATTTGAAGATTATATTTGACATTGATAGTCATTTAACCTAAAAGCTGATCAAATTTGAGAAAGGAATGTAAAAAAAGTATAAGAATTAATTTCTATTACATTTACTTCTATTTTCACAAAAAATCCAAATAAAACTATGTCATAATAATAACTAATTATGTTGTAATATCATTAGTAGATTGCATTTGAAGTATAATCTTCATCATATTTGATAGGTTGAAACTTGATTATAGAATTGTTTGATAATAATGTAACTTACATTTGATATATTGTTACTACTATATTTAATTTTAAATTTTCTAATTTGGATATTTAAAAAACATTTTTACAAAAAGTTTTCAGTAAAATTTTGAAGGCTAACGATTATACTTGGAATCACAATTGCAAGGAAAAGACCATTGTTTCATGAAAATGCGGAAAAATAGAAATGCAACGAGCGTCGTGGTAATCGTATGAAATCATCAGATTGATCGATGAATTCAAAGTTGATTCATGCTACTTGGCGCCAGTGTAAAGTCTCGTCTGCTCAGGAAAAGCGCAACCATTTTAAGTCTGAAAATTTCACTAGTTAATAGACAATAGTTTTGTAAGAAGATTGTTATGAGAAAATTACTTTAGAATGAAATAAGACCTATTTGTAACTGTTTTCATAACTTATTATTTACCTTTTTAAGATTTGATTAGTTGAAAATGTAATGCTCTTCAATATTATCTAAAACTAGAATAATATTAGAATTAGTGCTGAATGCATATCTTCTTACAATCATCAGAAGTAAGCTTCAAAAAGATACTTCGATCTTTGAAACATGCTATGTAATCATTAATACTGTTAGTTTAAGATAATTGCGTTATCTTTCAAACAACTTCACTTGTTATGTAATTAATGTATTGTTATGTAATTTGAAAAATCTTAGTCAATAGACATAATAATCTGAAAAAATGCTTATGGTTGTAATAAGCATGATTACATTATTATTCTAATATAAGTTCCTAATTACATAATTAGTGTTTATTCTACTAAACAAATTTGCTAATTTTATTAAGAATATAATTTGTTTTTGTTGTTTCCTTCAATTGCTATGGTTATTCTGTTATTAATAGAAATTGTAATGCTTTAAAACATGATATGTTTAAAATTGTTGATGTGTTTTTGTATCAATAAGAAGGTGAAATTATGGATGGATGAAAGATGCGATGGTCAAAGGTTGTTTGTTGTTTGGATAGGTGTTGATGGCGTGTTTGTTGTTGTTGTTTCAGGTGAAGATTATGGAAAGTCGGCGTGCTCAGGTACGACCCTTCCGGCATTCAACAGATTGCCGACGACCAGTTTCCATAGTAATGGGTCGACGGCGGGTCACAGGACTCCAGGAGCATACCCGGTGACCACTTCTTATCCCGAATGGCAATACGATCCAGTCCAGTACAATCCGATTGTAGCTAACAGTCGCCGCGGTAACCAGCTCAGCGCCTCCGCCTCCCTCTCAGCAAGTAAGTTGAACCCCAACGTATTTTCGGTTGGTCATGCAATTCTGACCTCTCTCCGATCCTATCGGACCACAGAAACCTGGGGAGAAAGAAAGAAAAAGAGAGATAGATAGATACACATACACAGCATATGATCAAAACACTTATCAAGAAAAAGATACACACGGAGAAAAAGAGAGAAAACGATTTTAAAAGTCAACACTGATAATGCGTTATTTAGACGAGAGATACAATTAACCATGACCTAAGCTACTCTGACTCGGAACGCATATTTTGGAAAATTGCGTGACCGAATAACAAAAAAAAAATACATATACATAAATTATGTTGCATCGAACTTATTTTTGAGACTTAATTTGATAAGGCTCGTATTATCTCCGGCTCTAATTAGTTGTTTTCGTGTTACATTATTTGATTTAATTGGATTTTTCCATCGTTTTTTTATATCAAAAACTTTCCTATTTATATATCTTTTCAATTTTACATCTGTGGTTAATTATTACGATTTTTTTTATATAATTGACAATAATATTATAATAAAAGTAATTATTTAATACTTATATAAACAATAAAAAGTGTTAAATGTAAAAATAAGTTAATCATAGCTATTTGCATTTAACTTTTTTGCCTGATTATTATGGGTCAAATACCATATCTATTAGTGAATAAATGCTTAAATATGCGTTTAAAAAGTATACAATTTGTAATTAATATTATTATTTACTTACAAATTTGTTTTGTTCTTAAAATCTATCTAATTTTTATCATCATATTTGATTAATGACAAAAATATACGTCAATATTCGAAACATTTTGTTATATGTTGAATATGTTTAATATGACTATCTAATAATTATAAAGAAGATTTAACAGAAATAAACAACAATATAAAAGATAATACCTATAAATATAGAAAATTAATTTATATGCTTGATATTGATTTCAGTTATTAACTAAACACAGTTGTTCCAAATTGATACTAAAAAAACACAATTTTACTTGATTTATAATATTTAATTGAATGTCTTTTGATTATGATTATTATTTTTAGAAAATATATAAATTGAATCTGCATAAACCAAATATTAGTTAAGCTTTGAAATTATGAGATCTAATTAGTTCTATAGGATTAGTTGAAAAGGTACTATATAAACGCAAAGATATTACATAATGAAAGCGCAATAACTTTTTCTGAAAAGTAATCAGATGTTGATGTGAAAGGAGACCGAAATTCCCACAGCACAGGATGATTTTCGCCGAGCGGCGTTTTCCCTTTCGAGTTATTTTTACGCGTGTATCTGGTTTGTATGTGCGTGCGTGTGTTCGTACGTATGTATGTATGTATATGTGTGTGTCTGCTGGTGTGCGGCACTTAAAAATTATGGGCGCATTCAACAGATCTGGTGTTTCAGTAATAGAAGACACTTCTGGGGCCCCCGCAATTATCGTTAAAATCAATTCCACTCTCGCCTCCCATGAATAATATTCATTCCAAGCCTCTGTCTCTCGGGGCCTCCACTCGAAACAGCTTCATAATAATACTTTCCACGTGTCCATTCAGAGTTTAAAACTCATCTCCAAAATAATGCAACTCAATTCAACATCCAAAATTGCAGCAATCTAAATCGAAGGTGTTTTCTCATCGCCGTATCGAGTTGCGAGGAGTAATTGTCAAAAAAAAAAACACATACAAGTCGCCTAGTAACCTTATTTTTTTTTGTTGGTGTTGATTTTGTGTGGGCGTCGTACCCATGGGATAGCAACAGGCCGTATCCATTACATTCATGCCACACGCTCTTTCCTTGTTTATTTTTTTTTTATATACATATATATTATAATATTATACTTCTTCCCTTTCATCCTCTCCACCCAAGATTCATCCTTTTTGTTTTTGCTTCGATTACTGCAGTGTTTGCAAACGCAATCGGGGATTTTGCAAATGAAAATGATGCTGATGATGAAGTCGAGGAGAACTGGTGGTTGCTGATGTTTTTTTTTTCCCTCTTTTTGTCGTTCACCATCGGGACCGGATGTTGGGTCTGTGCGTAAAACTTCACTTTCAGCGGGGCTTCATTATAACATATACATACATATATTGTTTTGTTTCTCTTTCTCTTATGCGATTTTTTTTTTCATTGTGCTTTTCGCGAGCCTGCAAATATTTCCGGGAACTGACCGAAGGCAAACCCATCGCGTCAGCGAATCCCATGGGACAATTTATACTCACACAAACAGCCAGAGTAATTATATTCCGCATTTGTTTTATTTCTTAATGCATTTCATCCATATGGTTAACACCATCAAGTCTAAAGGAATGCTAGATCTTGAACTTGACAAAAGAAGATTCTTGCTTTTTTTTTGTTCTTTGAATAATAATTTGATTTTTTATTTTCATCATTCATGACATCACTAAGTCTAATCAAATCTTCAACTTGAAAAAAAAATTGAAGATTTTTGTATATTTTTTTCTTTGAATAATAGTTTTATTTCTTATTTTCATCTGTTTAGTTATGGTGTCAACAATAAGTCTAAACAAATTTTCAACTTGAAAAAAGTCTTGACTGAAATCTTTATATAATATTTTTTTTCTAATGCTTAATACATATAAAGTCTAAAGGAGATATAATTGAAAAAAAAATAAAAGAGAACTTTAATTTGTGTATATTGATCCAGACTGATTTGAATGATTTTGAAGCTTGTACTATGATTCGGTAAACATTCAAAGTCTGGTAAATATTTGAATTAACGAACGTAATTTGTTTTGCGAACTTTGATTGAGTTGCACCGAGAATCCGAAATCAAGTGTTTATTAATGCTAAAGGACAACAATTCATTTGTTTGTTTCACATTTACACAAATGGAGTACTACAAATTGTACGTTTTTAACACTAGATTTACCAAACACCACAATTTAACGCTTATAGGATCTCATAAATGTTTCAGTACTAGAATATAGAATTTAATTTAAATTTTCTACTAATTTGTTTATTAAGATAATAAAATGACTCTCTTAACGAGTGACGATGAGAAGAGAAGTCCCGAATTGCGCGCCTGTTACATCATTTTGAAAACACAAATTATGTGTATTTTTGAATATATTAACCATCTTCGAATTTCTATGTCATCTTTGTTTACATGTCTCTGAATAAAAAGCCAAAGAATAAAAAGAACCATACATATGAAAAGCAAAATCATTAAAAATCGAGATCAAGTTATACTTTTTTTTCCGGCATGGAACGCATTGACGTAATTTACATTGGTTTATATGGGGAAAACTGTTTCACTATACAAGTATTTCACTATACGAGTATTTCACTATACGAGTAAAAAATTTGGAATGGATAAGTATGTATAATTATGTTGGTCAAATTGGACAAAATGATATTAATAGTGATTAAACATAAATTAAACAACGTATTAATCAATTTGAAGAAAATGCTAATATTAGTACAGAAAACGTAAATAGAAAATTATATTCTCATTTAGTAAAATTTAGTTATTATAAAATTTAATCAATTAGTTAAAATTAATCAGGACTTTTCAACAGCAATTAAAGTATTAAATTAACAGTTTTTAGTATAAGATAAATAAGAAGTGATTGTTTGATATCTTTTTCATATTGTTTGATATTAAATTTATTTATCAAAAATAAACATATTTCAGTTAAAGGTAACAGTGTCAATATTTGTATTAATTGCATTAGTTTTAAATATTATATATGTTAAGTTGTAGCAATATAAACCTAGTTTAATTTAATTATTTGATATTATTTATAAAATGAAATCAAATATTCTATTATATAATCTTATAAATGTAATTCAAATGTAATATATTGAAGCAGAGATGGATTTGTTGCTACTTGAAGTAAATTTAATATGTATTTTTAGACTTTAATCAAAGTCCAATCGATTTGCGATGCGATAAATAAAATAATTAAAGGAACGGCACTATTATTTACGTGTTTTCACTGAATGTCAGAAGTCGGTTGCCCCCTGCAATAAAGAACGTCCCCGTTGTTGACAGCTGTCACAGCTAAAGGGATTAAGATGTTGCGTGTGGAAAGATGCGTGTGGCGCAGTGTGCAGAGAGGAGCATCGTCGGCCATCAAATAAATTAATGTTCTCTTAAAGATGCATATTATTTTTCATGTCGGGATGCATGGGTGGGACAGATAATAAAGATGTCAGTGTGGTGGCAGAAAGTGGCGCAGTCGAATTTTCCGTGCGATTAGTCGCTCCGATTCGTGTAACCCTAGACGTTTAGGGGTTTTTCGGAATGCACATTTTTTTTTATGTCCCAATGTCCCTTTTTTTTGCTCTTCGCAAAAGTGGTCGATGTTGGCGCCACTGCAGGGGTGGCGCATCTACCATAAATTAAGTAGCGCCCCCCATGCGCACACAAAACCCATGGGGAAAGAAAAACTGTCGCAGAAAACAGTTGACAGGCGAGAGCAGCGACTCGTGTTTCTGATCAATTACGTTATGTCGCAATCGGTGGGCGCGCGTGTCGCAAGAAGTAAATTTGCATGTCCACCAAAGAGGATTGACTTGTCTTTATCAAATTTGACACAATTTTGATAAAAAAAAGACGCTACGAAATTGCAAAGAAAACGGAGAGAAACAGAATAATACCGTTATAAATTCGCGAACGCCCTTTTGCGTAACGCGCCGATTGTTTATTGTCACGAAACCCGATCGTTTCTCTCTGTTTATTGTTCGAGGAAACGAAACTTCCTTAACTGTTATTTACGTTTGCATTGAAGAAGTATATAATAAATAAAAACAGCAAGAGTCTCGATGTGATGTGATCATATACACATACATGCTTATACACATATACAAACACTTATACCGAGAGACGTGCGCGGCTGCTGCTGCTGCTGCTTGGATTCATGAAAGCTTTAAACGGTTTTTAGCTAAGTAATCTGAAATTTTCGCTGCATTTGCCACCTATGCAATTAAATGCTGACTCGGGGCCCTAAAAGGAGGGGAACGAAAAAAAAAAAGATCGCAATTCATGATTATTAACTCCAGCTAAAGAGAATGGCGACAATTAATACCGACAATAATATGTGCAGTATTATATTAAGCACACAGTGCTGAGATGCTTGCACGTATACATAGAATGAAGAAAAATTTCTGCATTTGTACAAAAAAAAACTGACTTTAATTTTTGTTCATTGATTTAAAGTCCACATTTTTCGTATAAATAAGTTTCAAATTTTGATTCTAGTATTCTTTCATAGTATTAGAGGCTAAAGATACTTTATATCATCACTTCTCAATTTTTTTGCCAAGTAATAGCTACTGTTGTATTGGTTCCAATTATATAAGTTTATTAATGCAAGGTGACAGCTCTCATTTAGTAACCCATTAAAATATGCTTGAGATGTTGTATTGCAACCCAATTGTTTATAACATTGAAGTTTTAACATTGAGTCATTTAGCGACCCATTAGAAATTTAAAGATAAGATTATTCTAAAAAGAACTTAGTTCTAAAATTTATAGATTTTGTTTTAAGAAATATTTTTTTTATTTGTCAAGTATAATAATGTGAATGACTGTGATAATGTTGTGTAACTAGAATGTCTTGAAGAAAAGTAATAGAAACCAACTTTATATATATAATTAAATGCTACCGGAAATGAACAAATTTAGAATATTTGTATTTTTTTATTGGTATCAATAAATTTTGAGTATTTGAGAAATAAAACACTTCATAAAAGTGCTGGAATTTGTAAGCTATGATTAAATACATAAAGAAACCGAAGAATAAGAGATACCATAAATTGATTTACAAACAAATAAACACAAATTCATTGAAAACAAACATGATTTATTATATGTATTTGTTAATGGTGTGTTAATGCTATTGACTATTTTATAACATGTTTCAACTTGTCGTTCTCGATTTATCTAAATAGTATTCGCTCAAACATCTTATTGTCAATTATATTATACAAGGATACACAAAGTATTTTAACACGTTTTACAAGTAATAATATTTAAAATTAATTGTCTTACATATAAACTGAAAATTAATTGGAATTGAACTAAATTTGAACAATAATTTATTGAAAATATGAACTAAGATTTGTCGATTCTTAAACAGATTGTTAATTTGTTGTGTGATTTGGGTTTGGATGTAGTGCAAGTAGTATAGGTGTGTTTGTATAGCAGCGTCTGGCTCGTTTGTCTTCCGTTCGTATTTCATTAAGTCTGATTAAGTAGCCACCGATGTTTGATGTTTAATGGTTAATGTCGAAACGCAACAAACACTTAACACAAATGGCACGCGCTCTCTTTGTCTGCACTTTGATAACGCGCACGGCCGGAGGAACGTATTTGAAGTGTGCTCGAGTCACCGAGACATTTCCGGTCCATGTAAATAGCTAAGTACCTCACTTCCTGCATTCTCGTTTGTATTTTCCTACATTTTATTATATATATATACTTTCACCAATATAAAGAACGTAAAAAAAGAAACAAAGTAGGTACTAGGTACATAAATATATACCAATAATTAAAAAAAATACGTGCAGTAATAATTCATATTATTACAATAAGAAATATGTGAAATATTTTTATATTAACATTAAATAAAATTAGATTAACAAATTGCGTTTGAAATTAAACATTATTTCTCATGTAATCACTATGAAAGGATATGTGATAAGTGTATATTAACGTTATCACGAATCTGACTTTCAGTTACATGTGAGATTTATATAAAAATACATATTCATATTTTTCTTATAATTTAGTTATTATAGAAATATTAATAAATTTTGTGTATCTTTAGCAATATAAACAGAATTATTGTTTAACTTAAATGTTTTTTTAAATTTACTTTTAATTTGCCAACTAAAACAATCACGATTTCTCTATTTCATTTGAATAGTTCCATATTTTCAAGATTTGCTATTTTCTAATTATAATAACATGTTTCAATTCTTTGCAAAGAGTATTTTTTAATTATCTTTAAATTTAATAAACGTTTGAAATTCTATAATTTTACAGCTTATTATCAAATTATATAATTGCTGTGTCTACATGAAACCGTTTATTATTTTTTTCTTTTTAATTTGTAGCGAAATGTGGTTTCTCACGTTTTATAAAATAATCTTTTTCAATTATTTTTTAAAATTTTAAATTAAACTCTGTAGCTACGATTATTAGCTTGAACATATAAACGCTGTGTTAACTTATTTTTTTCTAATTTCTTTCTTTCTCTCTTCTAGTTTATACAAAATGACATTTTAGAATTATTGTTCAATTTAATTGACTTTTCTAAACGATTTTTTTTAAATTTACTATTAATTTGCCAAATAAAATAATCACGATTTCTCTGTTTCATTTTAATAATTTGAAGTTTACCGTTGGTATCATTTCTATTTATATATAGTGTCAAATGATTAATAACAATCAAATTTGACATAAATTTGACAGCTATCAATTTAGTATAGTTTCTTAATAAAATCACATTTTTAAATTATAGTATAATATATTAAATTATATTTACCGTAAGGGTGAAATTCATCAACTAAATTCTTCGTCATCTGTTTTGTATGTAAAATTTTAAATTTACAGTTGGTACCATTTCTATTTGATAAATATAAGTGTTAAATGATGAATATCAATCATATTTAGTAAAGATTTGACAGCTGTCAATTTTAATTTGGAAAATACAATTTGTCAACCGAATTATATATTACGTATTTGATCAAAGTCAATTGATTAATATCAATCATATTTGACAGCTGTCATCATAGTTGTGTTGTGTTATGCTGCTACTGTCCTCTTTATGTAATATTTATGTTGTTATGTAAATGAATTTGTGTTTGAATCTAGTTGATCCGAGGACGGCTGAGTACTTCACTGAAGGGAGGGAATGCGTAAATTGCGGGGCTATAGATACGCCCTTGTGGCGTCGCGACGGCACGGGCCACTATTTGTGCAACGCCTGTGGATTGTATCACAAGATGAACGGCATGAATAGGCCCCTCGTCAAGCAGCCTCGTAGATTGGTACTTGTAAAACTTTTGCATGTTGTTGCTTGCGATCAAATTGTCCCAGAATCGAGAAAAAAAAAACAACAATTAGAAACAAATAAACAACAACAACAGTAAATAAACAACACAAACTAAAATTCGTCGGCGTCCCCCTTTCTCTCATGGGTCACACCTTTTTATTTTACATTACCCCGCATCATCAATTTAATTAATCGAAATTTTCTCCTCCCTTCTATTTTTTTGTTTCTAGGAATTCGGTAGTATCTCACGACGAATTCCCGTCGTTTCAGTTACATCATAAACTTCAAAAAAATAATCTGCAATAATTTTTATTTGTTTGTTTGTCTTTTTTTTTTTGTTTCCATGCACAGGGGACGCCTGTTCTGTTGTATATTTTATTTGCATTGTTATTTATTTATTTCTTCTTCGTTTCTCACAAAACACTTATAATTTATTAACTTTAAGTTAAGCACAAACAAGAATCGCTTTACACCCCAATGACGAGGCTACGCTGCTGACGCGGGTTTTATTCCTGCCCTCCCAAAAAAAAGAACCAAAAATCTAGAAGAAAAGTACAGTTTTTTCGTATAATCTGCGGTATAACGAAATAGAATTTAGAAAGAAATTAGTCGATCAAATAAATGTAGGATCTCTGTAGTATTTCGTCGTGTTATTATTCTCTTTATAATTTTTTTTCTCTCTATTATTAATATTTTTATTATTATTTTTTTTTTCTCTTTCTTCTGAAATCTAATCCCCTTTGTTATTTGCGTTCCAGTGGCGGCGGAGCCTGGGCATGGGGGTGTAGGTGATTACTACAAGAACTACTCGTATGCGTATAACAACGTGGGGGTCGTGAAACCCCATTTGCACAGCAACGAAGAGAAAACTAGCAGACGCTTGGTAGGTCTTTTTCTTGGGACAATGAATCGTATGATGATTTAGATGAGAAACGCAGAAATTAGATTAAATACGCGATTTTTGAACACTTTAAGCCCAATCATTATTTAATCTGGTTTCGTTTCTACCCATTAATACAATTAACCCGAACTAACAACGCACGCAACAAAACTACAAACCTATTTTGGGGTGACGATTGAAATGAAAGAATTGATTAACCAAAATAGGTTATGTGGTAATCTGTAATACAAAGAAACGAATTACATTTTTTTTTGGATCAAAGACTTACTTGATATGTTTTGTTTAGAGCGCATCCAGACGTGTGGGATTGACATGCTCCAATTGCCATACGAGCACTACTTCTCTATGGAGGAGGAACACCCTCGGTGAACCCGTTTGCAACGCCTGCGGTTTGTATTTCAAGCTGCACGGGGTTAACAGGCCTTTGGCTATGAAAAAGGAAAGCATTCAGGTAAGACTAATTAGAAAATACGAAGCAGTGCAGATTTTAATTTGTTTCTTTATTTATTTTTATGAAGACGAGGAAACGTAAACCAAAGGGTTCCAAGGACGTGAACTCTAGCAACAACGGTCTAGCCTCTAACAACAATACGCTGAAGATGGAAAACTTGAGCAACATCAAGTTGGAGACTAACCATTCAGTCGTGAAGACCGAGCACATTTCTGGGATTAAACTGGAACCTAACGCATTAGGTAATATAATTTTTTAATAATTTAAATCTGTGGTGTAATGAAAAGCAAATTACATCTAATATCACAATAACAATATTATAACAAAATAACTATTAAAAAGTGCTATTAAGATCTTTACGTCCTCACAAGGATATTTGAGTTCATAATTTGTTACTGAATTATTTTTCTTGACCAATATTAAAATATATTAAATTAAATAATATTCAAATATTTGTCCCCTAAAACAAAATTTATGTATATCAAAAAAGAAACTAACTTTAATTTTATATAATTCAATATAAATGTTTGAAATAACAGACTTTCTAAAATTTTGAGAATATTGATAATTCATTTTGCATATTTTCATTTCAAGTGCACAAACAATGCATAGACCTAAAAAAATAACATTCAGATTACATAACATATTCTAATTCTATAATATAAAGACATGATTTCATCTCAAATTTGGAAATATACTAACAAATAGATTACAATAATAACTTAGTTATAATTCATATTACAAATTAGGCCTAGAAAAATGTCTAAATAAAAATATTAAACTTATCCTAATCATTGTTTAGACTTATCGATTAATTTAAGTATACTTAGAAGCTTAAATGCTTCAAGTTGAAATACTTTAATGAAAATTAGGAAAGCTTCATAGGTTATGCAAAACAAAACACTAACAGGAATTAATGAATAACAGTTTGACAACACATGTTATTTGAAGATATGTTGATTTCAATTGCCATATTCATGATTTCATCAATATATTTAAATCGTATTTTTGTTTCGATAGATATTCGAGGTGAAATAAGTTACTAGAAAAGGCAATTATTTGCAATTAGAATTAGCAATAATGAATAATCAATATACTTAATACAAATTATACGTGATTAGAATTGAGTACGATGAAACTGAAATAATGCTGCCGTTTGTACGTAATTACAGTTGGTGCAACTGATTAAGAAGTATGTCACAAATCAAGCATAGCTATAGATTGAAATGTGTTTTAATCTTTATAATCTTTTTGTCATTTCCAGATAACTTCAACGATTTGAGATCAGTGGCTCATCTTCAGATGCATTCGGCGTCATCCGGAAGTCCGTACATCTACAGTAACGCCCTGAACCATCAGCGCGCCTCTCCTTATGCGACTCCCCATTCGCAGTCGTCGCCGTATCAAGCTCAGACCTCGCCCTACAGCGCCCCAATCGACTATTACATGATGCCCCAGGCGGGCGGCAGCCCAAATTCACCATCCGACACCTCCCCCAGTCCCCAATCCCCGCACATCATCAACAACCACAATAACAACAACAACACAAACAATAACAACATCACCAAGGTGATCCTCAACGATATGAACATCGAGAGACCGACCGTCGTCTCCATGACTTCAGTATAATCGAGCAAGATTCTCGCATTCAAGAAAATTAAAATGAGTTAAGTAAAAACCAAAGACTATTGGTTGAGTAGTTACCAAAACATGCAAAAATTAACAAAATCGCGCTTAAAGTGAAAATAAATAAGCGCTCAGAACATACGAATCTCTTCAACGAAAAAAAAAATCATAAATTTAGTCTCTCTTTTTCTCTCTAATAGCAATAAAAAACAACATTTTCTGTATATATATATATAAATAATCGTTAATATACATCATAATTATTTCTTTCTCTGTCTTCGCGACACTTCAAGTTCTATTTTATTAAATTTTCTCTCTATCTCTCTCTCTCTTTTCTAATGTATTTATATAAGTATAAACTATTTCTCTTCTATATGATATTGTATATTATTGTAATTCCGTTTTGGATCGCAAATCCAAAACACAAAGAGTGTAGAATCTAATCACTGAGTAAATCGGATATTCCGTGTATATAATTATAATAATTTTGAAAAAAAAACTTTAAAAAAAACACAAAAATATCAATTATATATATATCACACATATAATTAAGAATAACAAATATATTAAAGAAAAAACAATAATTTTAAGTTATATATCGATGATTGAAAAATAATATCAAATTTATATATATATTTCTTACCGTTAGTAATAAAATTTGCTTTGTATAAAAAAGAGTTTTCGTTTTGGTTTTCTGGTTCTACCGATGAAAACGCGTACGATATGTAAGGGGATACGCACACAAAAGAAAAACACATTCTCACGATTTTCTTATTCTTTTAATTATTATTATTTAGCTTAAATATTATTATTTTTTTCTCGTGTTTTATTTTTATTTTTTTTTGCTTTCTGATAATTTTATTTTTGTTTCACTCTCGAATTATATTATACTTTTATTATTATTTTTTTTTTATTAGTAATATTTAATATTGTTTTGTTAACTTGTACAGCACTTATTATATAGTATATTATGTTACTTTATACATTTCTTAAGTTTATAAGTTTTTTTTTTGTTTCACATTCTTTCATTTCTTCGTTCTTAATATAGATGCGAAACGAAGGAGGACAGTTTTATATAAATATTATACATATATATAAATAAGTTGTCAATTTTTATTTTGATTCGAAATAAATATTATATAAACATTTTAAATTTTATATTTATTTAACACAACTAAATCCTATATCATATTTACTATCTATATCACAAAAATGAAGTATTAGATCTAATTGAGAACACATTAGTTTGTCAATTCTTAAGTTAGATTTCGTTAAAATTTATATCAGATTGGGTTATTTTATAGGTAAAACTATCATAAAGTTTTACATACAAAATGATACATTTCTATAAACATAGTAATCATATATAGTTTAACCAATTTTTAAATTAAACTTGTTTTAGCTGGTTTGTCTAAAATCCAATTAGAATACAAATTTAATATTTCAAAATTAATACCCAGGGATGGTTCAGGAAGTGGCGTATCAAAGTCAGTCAACGAAACCAAATGCAGCCATGTCATCTTCACCCTCAAAAAGGGAAATAGTGTCGTCAAAATCAATTTTTAGTTGGGTTGTCATTGAATTATTTTTTTTAGTTAAATTTATATTTGTTTATAGGAAGATTTCCGATGGGAAATCGTTCCGCTCTACGCTTGTTATTTTGTTTTTATTTTATTTTTTGTCCACTGCCCAAACATATTCTACTCATTACCAAAAATTAGCAGGTTGTCAATAAAATAAAGGTTACAAAAAAAAATAATACAAAGAAGTTTGGCAACCTTTGCTAAATATTGAACTTCAGTTAAATAATTGGTGGATGCTCCGGGTAAACGGAAACCGAAGGATTGAATCATCTGGCCCAAACTGTAACATTCATAATTATTAGAACACAATAATGTATAATATAGTAATTTTAATAATCAATACTTTAATTGCGTCCATTTATAATTTTATATTTGAGAGCTTAAAAAGTCGATCGTTTGGAAGTAATAAGAAAGTTGAGAATATTGATAAAATTTGCTACAGTTAATATTTAGATAAAATCTTATATAAACGCAGCTCTAATTATGTAATTCTTTTCTTTTACACTTTAATAATTAGAAAATGCTGAACAATATATTCGTGATTGTGGTAAAATACCAGAGAAACAAGAAAGGAAGCAGGTATCAAAATAAAAAAAGAATCTGTTTCAACACTTTTAACTACATATTACTAATAATGCACAAACAAACGACTAGATACTCACTCACAAAAGCAGCCCCAAGGACTGGCGTTGGAAAAAATACTCCAATTTGGGTAAAACATTATTCTATGGGGTAATGATGACATTCAGTAAAATCTATTTTAAGAATATTGGAATTTAGTCCGCAGTATCCATAAAAAATATTATAATTCCTCCGCCTATTACACGGGTAATGCCGACGTAAATTAATATATTATGGGATATTAGGTAAAATACAGATTCTCTTGGACTTCGACTACCAAAAGGACTGTAGTAGAGCATCATTATCAATATGAAATATAGCGAATATGGTACATTAATATATATAATTTTATAAAAATTTAAAAAAATATGAAAAATTATTAATGATAATCATTATTGCCTATAAATTTTGAAAAGAAAAACAAAACTCTATATAATAAACAAACTAATATAAATTATAAACAAAATTACATCGACCCTACTGAATATAAAAATGTTTTCAATCGACCCCTAAATTTTGTATATTGTATGCATAAATATCGCCAATAATCAAGTTCCTGTTGTTATGGAAAATCCAACAACAAAACAATTTTTACATAATCACCTTTTACATAATCTATCAAAAATAATGCGAACATTGTCTTTGATGTTTTTTAAGTAATAGTTTTTATATCATGTGTAAAAATAATTGACAACAATCTTAATTCACCACGTTCTAGTATATTTAATTAATTTGTTATATAATAATAATAATCTTTATTAGTCACTATTGTAACCAAAGGGCTATTGACCTAAGTTTTTCCGTCCTTAATTTCTTATTTTTTTGAATAATAAGAATTAGGATAATCTTTGCAATTCCAAAATTGAGCAAATTCACATGTTTGAAAATTGATTCTAGATTCCAAATAGGTATGTAATACCTAATTTTAGTTTCCAAATTTTTCAATTCACATAACATAAATTGAAATATGCCTTTAGTTGTTAATAAATTACGATTTTATCATTCTAAACTAAACGCTACTAAATGTATTGGTGATCAAACCACAAAGATCTCTACAGTTTTACAATACACTTTTACATTTCACTTATGAGAAGCACCAATGTCATTGTGAACTAAATTAAAACATTATTTTAAGCCTCTAAACTATTTCATCTCGTTTATTAGTCAGTAATAACACTAAATTCCTTCCCATTTTTTTCGTTTATTTCTTTAAATTTAGAATTTAACAATATACTCGTTTTATGCCAAAATAGATTTTGTATTAAAATGTTTATTTAAGTCTATGCTCAAAAACCGGTTTTTTACCGTTTTTCTGAAGCAACGAAATATTTTTGAGGTTTTAGAACTACATCTGCGTGTACCTGCGTACTCCAATATTAGGAATTCTAACATAAAACTTAATTTTTTCTTGACAATTTCGATTGTACAATTGGATGCAACTCCAATCCAATCTCATTGTATTGTTTTCATAGAGATAATCAGATTACGTTTAAAAACAAAACGCTACTATTATTTGCATAACTTAACATCATCTATCTAATCAGGAAATAAAAAATATCTCATTTTTTTTATCAGATCAGCAAAGGTCATTTAACCGGAGATTAGAAGGGCACAATCTCGCGATCTTTCCGGAAATGCAACGAACGACTTTTCCGGTTTCCCAGCGTCGTTACAAGTAGAAATCGCGTCATCAGCGCGGCGGTGATGCAACGCCGCATTCGTTATCGCAGCCATCTTGACAAGGAGCTCATATCTGCCTGCCCCACCCAATAGCATAAAAATTCAGCTACATTCAATACGGATCAACTTCTAATTATCCCAAACCATCAATGCTCGTCACAACACCGCAGCATCTACATCGAAATCGTAAGTCTTCGAAACACTTTTCTTTTTTAATTTCGTCGCTAATTCCTTCTTCTTTATTGCTATTGTTTCATTACTTTTTTTTGTACTTTTAAATCGAATTTTAGTAACCGCGTCCCGTTTCGTTAATTCACTGAAGCGCGCACCACACTTTCGAAGCTTTCGTCGCGTTCGGGGCAGAAACCGCAAGAAATCTTAGAGTCGACGTCTCGTCCGATGCTTCGTACATCGTTTACTAAAATTTTATATAATTTCCTGAAAGATATAATACTGTTAACATATCAAATAGATACGGGATGATATGAGTGAGGGCTTTATAAACAGTTTATCTAGAAATTGTTATCATACACATTTCGAGAGCAAAGCCGCAACATTATTGTATATTTTTTCCTGTATTATTTAAGAAGCAACCCTTGTCCAAAAGAATTAAACCTAGTACTTTTATTTTGTATCATAGTTTACGCCAGATTTCATGTTTTTGGGCGGCCGCCATTTTGTCGTTGCGCTCACAAAATGGTCAAAGCCGCGCTCATCGCACACGTCAAACACCGTTCGTTTCCACTTTAATTAACTTCCATTATTTAACAGTAAAATATAATTATAAATAATTTGAACTCGAAAACATCGTCACAACACACAACAAAAACTTAAATAAACAATTTCGTTAAGTAAACACATACGATTATGTAGGAATATTTTAATCCGCATCAAAATTAAATCTAGGTGATATTTAACTTGGATTTAGTCTAAATTAAAAATTTCTTATAGGAAAACAAAATATTTTCAACGGAAAATACATAATTGTTTTTCTTTTGTATAAAACCAAAGAAAATTGAAGTTACTCATAACTTTCCAAGAAAAATAACTTATTAAAATAGAAATGCAACAATAACAATTAATTATACTCATTGTTATCATCACCTAATAAACAATACTTAATTGTAACAATAACATTATGTAATTAAAATCTGCAAAAAGTAATGTTTTACGTTGAATAAAGAAATTTCTATTAGTAATATTAGAAATGAAAACATTATAACACTTTTTATTGGACCTATTCTATCTAAAAAGTTAAATTTGGTGAAGCAAATTGTCAAATATTTTATTTAAAAAATTAACAGTTGTTTAAAAGTATATATGTTGTAATACTTCAGTCAATATCGTTTTTTTTTTACGAATATCATTTAAATATTATAATTGCTCTAGAAAAATCCATTTGCGCATGTTTTTATTTCTGGAATTTTATAGATAACAATATATTAAAGTACATTTTATTTATTTTTGAAACCGTCCACTTTTTTTTATATGTTATTCTAAAAATAATTGATGATGAACTTGTAACTATGCAGCTAAACAACACGTGCTGAACAACATAAAACATGTTTGATTGCATCATTACTATAGACATTTCTTAAAATGCGACATAACGAAGAAATTTGTTAAAATTTGTTTCAATATCATTTAAATCTTCGGTTGTTAGATTCTTCATATTTTTAATTCTTCGATTCTTACATTTTTTCTAAATCTTCCTGTTTGCTCTCAATAAATTTCTAACATCCATCTTCATGGATGTTTTGGTAACCTATTGATTGAACCATCTGGATATCTTAATTTCTTGTATCTTATTTTTTTCGTTTTATACAACTTCAGGCCATATTTTGTCCGATAATTGTCGAGCGTTTGCCTCAAATTGGATTTTGTTTTATGATAAATAGGGCTTGAAATTGCGGACTTATCAAAGCTTCGATTTCAGAGGTACGACTGTAATTAAAACATTATAATTTTAATAAAAGTATTTATCAATTTCTTGCAATTAGAGTTTACGTGGTCGATAGATTAGAGTTATGTTTTTTTTCTTAATATGTTCATTTTAAGTTTACTTATGTTTTATTTTAATTTTGCCGGTACGCAGTACGCGTAAACAGTTTAAAATATTATCTCGCATCATTTACTGTTATAAACGTCTGGTATGATTCATATGTTACAGTTGTTTTGAGAAATTAATTACATATTAAAAAAAAAATCAAAATAATTAATCTAACATATTTTAGTGTATATTTGATTTCAGATAATATCACTTTTTGTAGTTATCGTCAATTTGTCTCGACAAAATATAAATAATAACACTTGTAAACATATTTTTCTATTTAAGTGCAATAATATTTAATTAATTTAGATAGAAAGACTTATGGTCAATTTCAATTATTTATTATTGTTATTGAATGAAAATGTTTATTTTTTTACAGAATGGAAACAATGAAAAAAATATGAAATATAATAATTATAAAAATATTAATTTGAACAACAATTTGAACTTTATTCTTTTCTGTATGTTGTTTACAAACAGTTTTGTTGCCGATCGTTAACCTCCGGGTTATTTAGAACCCTAGCAAGCAATAAAAAGGTAGTCCCAGTTCCCAGTTTAATTGTACAACGGTACAATCCCTGTTTTCGTTTTTACCTAAATTGAATAATAACAAAGATTCTATTGTATATCATCTCAACATCGTTAAATCAATATTGCCGAAGTTAAGTATTTAAGCAGAAGGACGAAAAAAACACAAATCTTATGATTTCTCTGACAATTATAATATAAATTCTAAAAAAATTAACATGTACTTTTTTTTGTTCATAAGTAAAAAAATAATTATAGAACAATGACTATGACAAACTTTCAAAGAAATTCAGTAAAATTAAAATTGTACAACAAATAAATCCAAAGCATTATATTTAAATTTAAAGGCATTAGAATAAAAACCGTAATCATTCATAAGATTACGGTTTTTATTCTAATGTCTTATATGATCTAATAAATATAATATACAAAATAAAATATTAATTTGTTTATATAAGTATAAAAACAATATTTGTCTTATTTTTTTATATTATTGCATAGAAGATCATGATTTTCAATTGTCTAAAAATATTCAACTAAACTCTAAAGTTATCAATTATACTGAAATATTTTTGTTCTGCTTTTTTTATGCTTTCCGAAACGCTCAACGCTTTTCCGTATTCGTTTAACATTGCTAAGGGTGTAATCATCGCATTGTCTCGAAGGAAACACTTGAAAATTTCATTATATTATAATTTGAAATAATCGTCTTAAGAAGTTACATAATGATGGTGAATTTTCTTTGCAAGAAATATAATAGAATTATGTACGTCTGCTTCAAAAGATTTATATCATAAATATACTAGTGAACATTTTCTATAGTAGAAAAATGCATTTTTTATATTACTTAATAAGAATTTAACTAAAAATGTTGATGAATATTTCATAAGGATTATTTAATGTAAACAAAGGTTTTTGATAAGTGTACATATTTTTTTTAAGTATTTTAGGATATTTGAAGATGTTAGGATAACGTTATGAAATATATAAGACGAATTTTCATAATAAAACTATAAATATTATCGTGTATACAAAACTTATTTCGTTGTTAGTAATAATCAATTCTTAAAATTCCAAAGATTATTTAATTTTGTTTTTAGAAAATTAAAAACTTGAAAGATTTAATCTATTAGAATTTTACTGCAATTTTATAAATTATAGTTATTTATTATTTGTTAAAAAAACTAATGTAACTCCAATCATTGTGCTATCAAATATTTCTCATAATTTCGAAAAAATACAATTTATGAATTTGAACATGTTTGTTATTAAAAAAAATATTTAAATAACATCAGAAAACTCATGATTTTGCATTGTACACATTTATCAGTTCTCTTACAACTATAAACTGAAATTGTAAATTAATGTTTCTTAATCCTAAATGGACCAATAAAAAATAAGTTAAATGCCTAAGAAACATTATTAAGTTCGTCAGGAATAAACAAATACACGAAGATCTTCATATAGATATGGTCGAGGATACAATACCAATATAGAGTGGAGTCACATACTAATGTTCTAGTTATTGGACTACTTGACAACAGTGAAACAACAAATAGACTAAACCACAAGATTTAGTATATAGATTTAAGTAATTATTAACGTTTAAAATCAACATAATGGTAACTATCTACCGGGAAAGCTTATACATTTAATGTCAATCGCGATCTTAAATTTACTCAATGTTCACATTGATGAACAGATTATGAATAAAATTATTACAACATAAAAAAAATGTTTATTACCAGTCCAAGGTCATTATTATCAATAGTAGAAACTTATGATCCATTTTCTAAAGAAATATTACGCAAAATAAAAAATTCAATTTTTTCAGTAAATATTGATTACTGAAAAATAGTTATCTCAAACTGAACAAACTAACTTCTATAAATAATCCATTTACTGAAGGTTAACAAACGCTCGACATTGAACATTTTTTCTAGTCTACACTATATTACTTCATTTAGTAATAATTTAGTAACACAACATGGATAAACAGCATTACCCCGCATAGTACGACTATATATATTTAGTTCCTCGATTAGTCCGGTTTAATCCGCTAATATTGTTAATAAAACTTTAAAAAATATAAAAAAAAACTGACAAACAGTCATCTAAATATAATATGAATAAATGATGTAATATTTTCTTAGCGGCTCTTCACAAGGTTTTGATCAAATAAAATCGTTTAAATGCAACATAAATAAAATATAATTCTTAAGCAATGAAATCTTCGGCTTCGATTTGGAATCGACCGTTTGTTTTAAATTTGTTCACACCAAAAATACGTGTCAGTTTTATATAAATATATATATAAAAAAAAACTCGGGCAATGGCGTTCCTAAAGCAAGCGTACAATGTCACTGTTTGATCAATGATAACGTCCCTTATCTTATCTCTACGCCAAGCTGAAATTACCTGATTCCCTGGTAATTCGAGCATCAAAATAACTCCAACTTTCACGTACACGTATTATTACAATTCCCATCGAAACACGAAAATCCTTCATACAACAACTGTGCACATGCAACAACGACGTTAAATTTTCTCACTATCCATCCATAATTCCCCACTTGATTACTATTACTGTAACACCGTTCATCTATTT